TAGTCCCGAACCCCCAAAACATTAGAATTTTAAACACCTTCCATTCTTCTTCACTCAGACTTAGAATATAAGCCTTATTTCATGATCAAGCCCTACTGTCCCAAGGTGACGTGTACTCTATCAACTCCCTCAAACACTTCTTTTCAGGTGGAAGGAGAGGAAGTGCTACCAGTAGGCTTCTGCTTATATCTTACTGGCAAAAAGTAAGCTGCACAGCCTACTTAAATGCAAAAGAGGCTGATGAATGGAACTTTAAGGCAAGTGAGGAATAAGGAGAAAATGATACTTGAGTCAACTCATCTACAGTACTTTTGTTATATCATACAGCAGTTTTTCCTATAACTGTACCTTGTAGTTTATATGTTGGCTTAACCTTAAAGCAGTATGACTTTTGGATTAACAGCAATGCTAGCAAATTAGCTTGTGAAATAATTTTACCAAATCATTCCTAGGAAAAACACAATCAAGAATTAGAGTTCACTGTTGAAAACCTGTTAGCCACGATATCTGATTTGTTTGGAGCTGGGACAGAGACAACGAGCACCACTCTGAGATATGGTCTCCTCCTCTTGCTGAAGCACCCAGAGGTCACAGGTATGACCAACATGGTGGGCAGGGTAACTTCAAAGAAGATACTGGAAAGAGACTGCGAGTGCTCCCACCTTGTTTCTCACAGGGAAGTATTTAAATTTAAATCTCTGAACAGCTTAATTTTTTGAAATTTAACGAAGGGATAATAATGGACATCTTTACATAACACAGGAGGATGAGTGAGAGAAGTGAAGACACTGTGGGAGGTAGCAAAGTAATAAAGCACTCTCTGAGGTTATTTGTAGCAGACACAGTGGGCATTAATTAGCCTGGGGCTGCACACTGGTTTTATCATGGAAAGGTCACTTTGATTTATCCTCATTCTGAAAATGCAGTGTTCTAAACAGGGGTGGAAAACAGAAACACTCCTCATTGAAGCATAGGTGGAAATCCTAGAAATTTGGTGAGGTTGCCTGAGATAACGTCCACATTCTGCGAAGTGCTCTCAAATGTTACATTCACAAGAATTTATTGTATTAAGGCTTAAGATGCGATAAAGGTATTTTAGTGGCCCACAATTCTGTTTCTAGAAAACTACTGCTTGCCAAAAGGAGAATTTAGGGTGATCAATCATTTTATTTTTTACACAGAACATTATGTTACAAAAGTACATTTAAAGAGTGATACTAAATCCATAGCAATTTAGAAACACTATCTTGTCGTGTCAGGACCCCTCAAGATGACTATGACCTATTACAAACGAGAATTAGTCTTTTAAAGATGGACAAGAAGAGGCCAGGAAACAGCTGACAAATGTTTAACAAATGTCTGAACACACACAGCTTACTGAGGGGTGATAATGAAGTCAGTATAGAGACGAACTTGTGACCTAAACATCAGAAAAGGAAGTTACATTATGAGAGGAAATAATTTACGTCTCTACAATCCTATAAGATTCAGTATTTGGAAGTACCAAGCGTCGAAGACAGTGTGGGTAGATATAGGCTGATAAAGGTAGCTCTCCCTGCCACGTCCCTTTGACAACCCCTTCTATCAGGTGATTGTTTTTCCCCAGTAGGATAAGAGAAGTTTACTCTCTAGAGAAACTGAAACTAAGAGGACTTACACTCAGGGACACTGGGCAGAGGTAG